GGGCTTATTCCTTTATAAGAAGGGGGCTAAATCACATTGAATAAAGCCATCACTACATCCACCCTAGGGAATCACTCTATCTGCCTATCACTCTAATACTCACTCTATCGCTCTAACTGCAGTAGTTAAAGAAAAACACACTCTTGACCAGCACACAAATACAAAATATGGTGTAGATCCAGGTTTTTCTATTGTTCTGGCAGAACAAAAGCGAGTTAAGTTGGTTGGAAATTAATTTCTGTGTGCATTAAGACTCTGCACAGCCTGAACAGTATAAAAGAGATTTGGTTTCACTCAGAATTAGCCTGAATAAATTCAGAAGGCCATATTTCTTTACACAGCACATAATCATTTCCAAAGCATCTGCCATAAAAAGGGGCGATTGAAACAGATTTCCTAGTGGATAATTTCCTGCCTGTTCCTGAAACTTAAATCTCAGAAAAACAAATCCAAAACTCATGGTCGCCAGTGTGAAAACTCCATTGATCTCGGTGGACGTTGGTGCAGCTCTGAAAGATATGAGAACAGGTACTGAGAGTTCGTGTGGCTCGAGCTCGGGGCAGCACCATCACTGTTTCACACAGCACAATGAGACCAATGCAGAGCAGAGCTCCTTCCCTTCCCATGGCATCCCCCTGTGGTGCCCACCCCTTTCTGGTGCTCTCGGGAATGCAGCCCATGGACAGGCACAAGCTGGGGTTGTGGAAGTGGATAGCAACACGGTCTGGAATGTATATCTGAAACTGAAATGGCTGGGGACTATGGGAGTCATTTGTTAATCATCCTGGGAGTCAGGATGGGAAATGACAATTTCAGGTGGATCTTCCCCATGCTCTCTTTCCTGCTCTCAGCCCTCCCCTCTTCCACTTCAGCAAGTGACTGTGGGGTTAATGGATCTCCAAGAAGGGACATAAAGATGGGTACTGAGTGTCTAGGGAAGCTTCTCACCTTGTTCTGAATAACAAAACTCTCTCATACCACAAAACAGGTACCTTCAGGCCCACAGGAGCAGGGACAGCTGATTCAGTGGGGAGAAACCTGGTGTTAGCTGAGGAAGCTATTGCTGGTTTGAGTCAAGAACAAGATCTTCAGTGAAATGAATTGATGGTTTCAGTTCCGGATCTGGTGGGCAAATTAAAAAAAAAGAAAAAAAAAAGAAAAAAAGAGAAAAACACAACAATAAAAAACCCAAATCGGGCCGCATATCTCAATGCTTGCTTTCAGGAAGCTGCACACAACTGAAGCAGAGCATGGAGACTGACTCAACTCTCGCTCTTCGACAGGAGCCCACGGGAGGCAGGAGAGGCAGGACCCTGCCTGGAGAGCCGGCAGCCCCCAGGATCAGTTTTTTTTTTTCCTGGGGTTTGTTCCTGCCCATCCCTCTGGGGAAAGCAGCAGCACCAGGGGAAGAAGTGAAGTGGAAAGCAAACCTCTATCTCTGGGAGATGCCATTCTTCCCAAGATTGTCCCAGATGATGCAGGTGTAAATGGTGTCAAACCAGAGCCTGCTGGTGTTTTCATTCAAGTGTAGCATACAAGGGAATTTCAGCTAACCCTTCAGTGGCCAGAAGATGTGGGATGGTGTCATTTATTGCACATCTCAGGCAAGTCACGTCTGTGAGAGCTTACACACCAGAATCCCTGCGTCTCTTGCCAGTTATACCCGTGTGTTTCTCTGGTACCATCTGAGGAACCATAAGCAGCTTTCCAAAGCTTTAAAAGTCTCCAACAGGCTGCTGTGAGACAAGTAAGAAATCACCTCTTTAGTCCCACAGGGGGAAGGAGACACTGGAAACAAAAAGCTTGAATTTAGGAACCTGGTGGCGGAGCAGCAGGGAGCAGGCAGGAGCTCCTGGCTGCCAGGAGCGTGGCCTTCCTGAGGAGGCAGTCAACAGGACAAGAGGCAGGAACAATGAGCTAAGCGCTGCAGTGGAAACAAACACCTTTTTTTAGGCACTCAGCACTAAGCTGCTGCTACTTTTATCGCACCATTCATTTGGGAAGAAAGCAGCGCAGCAAAACAAGGTGCGCGCACCAAGTCTGAGCTCATGGAATTTAGCGGCCTGCAAATTAGCTATTAAATTATTTCATTTATTAGTCTGGGATCACTGTGTTCTGCTGTGATTTTGGACCGGATCTGGCCAGGTCAATCCCTGGGGCAGGACCTGGAGGATCTGCAGGGAGACCAACGATGACGGCTGGATGCTGACTTCTTCTGGAGAGCTGAAGCCATCGTTTCCACTGCTTAAGTCTTCCGTGAATGCTCTTGAGCTGTTTTACAGATAAACACATACACACGTGCACGTGAAACCCCCTGGCAAAAACAATGGTTGTTTTGCATGCCAAATGTGTCAGTTGCATTTCTTTTTACGACTGAATTCATTCTCGAGTCATGAATGCAAAAAAAGCCTGGTGCGTGATTAAATTTAGGGCATTCGTTTTGCATTCCAGCACAGAGGGAACCCAACAGTCTCAAACCTCAGAAAAAGCCTCTCCACCTCTACTTTATGGACAATTTCATTCTGTTTGTGTTTCCAGAGCCTACTTCAAAGTGCAGATGCATTTCAGGTAAATAATGACAGCTTCAGAACAAGTTTTCCTTGTAACACAAATCGCCTCGCTAATGAAATCAGGGAAAAACATCAGAACAACTTGATATCCACCTGCGCTGAAATCAAATCTTTCTATTTATATAGTGGAATGAGGGACCTGATTCTGCTCCCAGTCAAACCAGGTGTGAAACTCATGCTGACTTGAACGGGAACGGGGCCAGCCCTGCAATCCTGCTGGTGACCGTTGCCCGAACCTGGGTGAGGATGCCCTGATCCTTGCAGTGCACAGCAGAGAACGTGCCTGTGGGTGCAGCAGCAAACAATGGGGTCAGGTTCAGAAGAATACGAGGCACCTTCCCTCGGTGCAGAGAACAGTTTCTATAGTTTCCAGATTTCCTTCCTGCTAATGTCAATCATGCATGGGAGAAAACAATGAAGAAACACCAGCCTCACTTGGAATAAAGTAACGGGGACCCAAGAATGAGGCATATGCTTAAAAAATGAAAATAAATAAAAACAGAATTGTCACATCCAAGGCTGAAAGTATCGACTATCTGAACTGCCACATAAATCAGGCTAGCCCTGGGGACTTGGATCTACACCACTACTTACCTCTTCACCTCAAACCTCAAGAGCAAGGTTCTCTCTTGCTTTGGAAGTCTGCAGGTGGGCAGATGGCATGGCTCGTGGTCATCTCCTCTCCATCACTGAACCACTTGCCTTGCTGCAGCACCGCATCCAGCTCCAGAGCTGCTGCTTCCCCCAGCTCCCATCACCCTTCCCAAAGGCTCTGCAGCAGGATGAAGGGGACTGAGATGTCCACTTGGCTTGTCAACAGAGAAGAACAAACTGCACTTGAACCTGGAAATTTACAGGAATGCAGAGCAGCCGTGTTGCTAAGCCAGCTGCAAACCTGCTTTGCTCGGGGCTCTTCCCTTTGTAGGGCTGAAGGAATGAGGCGCGTGCTGCCAAGTAGGACATCAGTGCTGCAAGCAAATGGAAAGTCCTTATCCCACCAGCAATCTTGACCTGGTAACGGGCAGGCGGCTAGTGTAACAAGAAAGCTGGGCTCCTTCCTACTCGCAGGAAGGGGAGGCGGTAGGACACAGGTTATAATTAGAGCCACCCACAGCAATTTTGGGGAAGCTTTAGCACATGGATCAGGATCTTCTTGTGAGTACTGCCAGTTCACCATCTGCTTAGACTGGGCCAGTCCAGAACCCCAGTGGCAAGCCTGCAGACACTGCTCCTGCTTGCCTGGGGTTTAGCGGTGCTTTAAGCCACTTCGGTGCCTGCAGGGGAAAGCACAAAGCAACGGGAAATTCTCTGCGCCCTTACTCTGAGTGTCCAGCTAATTTAAAGGATTTGCTTCAGCTTTGGAGACAAGCTCGCACTGGAGCACTCGCTCCTTTCTTTCCAAGGGATTATAAAATGTCAGAGATTCATTCAAACTGGCTTTCCCCAGTACAGTTTCCTGCAGCTGGAAAAACACCGGTCCTGCCAAGCTCCGCGTGCTGCTGTGGGCGCAGCACATTTCGTGCTGCAGCCTCCCCTTCCCCATGCAAAGCTGCACAAGTGGCCCCATGGAGCACGATAAGAGGCACATGGGGTGCCCGTGCCTGGACCGAGACACTCGAGAGCCATCCCCAGCTCTCCATCGAGATGCTGCAGATGCTGAGAGCACCCTGTGTTTGCAATGCCTCGGACAGGTGGGCTCGTAGCCTCGGAGCTTGGCAAAGGGGCTGGTGTGATCCTCGTGGCACAGGGGTCTTGCACCCTCATGGGCTGAGACACGAGCATCTGGTCCTAACTCTTGTGGTGCTAATTCACAGCACTGATTAAAACCTCGTGTACGAGCATTCAGGAGCATTGCTGGCTCTGTACAGCAGCCACCCCTCCCCAGACATCCCTTCTGGCCCCCGTGGTGCAGCTAAACCTCACAAATGTGAAGACTGAAGCATCTATTGGGAAGGCTAAGCTATGTGAAGCTTTTGTATGAGCCAGGGCCCGTCTAGAAGTGGCTGCTCAGCGGAAGCAGCGCTCCTTTAATTGTTAAATTTGTACTGTGCTTCTCACCCACATCCCAATTTTTAGTGTTTTCCCTCAAGGCCCTGCTCTGTTGCCCCGGGCCTGGCTGTGAAAACCTCAGCTGTTGCTGTCCCTGTGTTTAACCGCCTGTGTTTCTGAGCCTCACCATTCACAGAAAAAAAAAAAAAAAAAAAAAAAAAAAAAGAAAAAAAAAAGCTTGAAAACGTGAGCCCAGCACTCTCAAAGGAAACAATTCTAATCATTCTCTTTTTTCCCTTACCACTGCGATTTATTTAAAAAGGGACTCTGGGGCCTCACCCAGGAGTTTCGGGTGCTGCTCAGCGTGGGGAGAGCAAGCACAAAGCCACCGCTGCCGCCCGGGGAAGCGTGGCGAGCACAGCTCTGCGCTGCCCACCCTGCTCCCTTCCAGGTAGATGGAAAATAATTATGTGGGTTATGAATGGCGGTGTGTCTGCGGGGGGTGGAGACGGGGCGAGGGGGGTGTCAAGTGTGTCTTACGAGTGCTTTGAAATGTGTTTGTGTGTTTCTGAGATGAACCTTAAAGAAAATACCTGAAAACTGGTTTTGCTTTTCCTAAAGCATTGGCTCTTTCAGGCGGCATCTTTGCCAAGAGTCATTAATCACATCTTTATTAACAAGGGCGGGGGAACAGTGACCTCAAACAACCGAGGAAAACAACTAAAACTGCATTCATTTGAAGGACCGCTGTTAAACTCACTGCTGGCCAGCACATGCTACTGTTGACGTGTATTTAAAGTGCACCGAGGCTTTGGGGTACGTTGGGGCTCCTGTACAGGACTAGGGCAGGACTTAGCCCAGAAGCGTGTTCGACTTAACCTTACGTCCTCTAGAGTAAGAAGAGGAGAAAGAAGAAGGTTTCCAAAAGGTCTTCACACTTTCCTGCTACCTCTAAGAGTATAGTGTGAGCAGGCAGGCTAAACTATCCCTAGAGCTTAGGGATATGGTTTAGTGGGGACTGTTAGCGTTAGGTCAGAGGTTGGACTTGATGATCTTGAGGTCTCTTCCAACCTAGAAATTCTGTGATTCTGTGATTCTGTAAACTCGCTGCCTTTTCTCTTCTGAAGCCTCACAGTTCACAGGTTCATGGATTTCATGATATGAACGCTTTAAATCCAACATCACGACTGCCCTGCGTGCGGGCCTGGGCCCGGCTCCTGCCAGCCCTGCCAGCCGGCTTGCTCTGAAGTACCCAGCCCTGCTGTTAACGCCACGGGACAGAGTCCACCACATCTCTCACTAACGTGCTAATTTTCTCAGCTTGAAATGCAGAGCCAGCCGAACAAGCAGCGTTAGGTGCAAAAGGGGGAGGAAGGAGGCGACGACAGCACCGTTCCTCCACCAGGATCAGTGCCATGGCTCAAGGCCCTGCAGGCTGTGCAGCACCACCGGGACCATCCCTGCCCTTCAGAAGTGGTTTGGGGGTCTTAGGGCATTCATCTTGCTGAATAGGACCATGAGGAAGCCCAGTCCCAGGAGCAGGAGGACAAAGGAAGAGGCCACAAGGCTGCTTTCGCTGCCTGCCTAGGGCGCACATGATCAGGAGCCCCGTGTGCATCCCTCGCCCCTTCTGTAACTCCCCCCGTGCTCATGGTTCCCCACTCTGAGCTGCTTCGGGAGCACAGGGACTTTTGAGGGGATTTCTGGAGCCTGCCTCAAGACGCTTTGGCTGCGGAGAGGGCTCTCGGCAGCAGCGTGGGGAAAGGGCAGGTCCCCACTTTGGGCAGGATGCTAATGGCGCATCGCAGTAGGCAGGCTGCGAACACAAACCCTGGAAGGCTGTTGCCACTGATAACACCCATCTGCTGTGGCATCATGTCCGTTGACATAACCTTAATTAATGACATTACCAAGCTAATGAGGAGATAAACCACCGATCCCAGGTCCTGTTAAGAAATTGTCTTAAATACCAGTCCCTAATCGCTATGGAGAAACAGACAGTGGGCCAAAACGCACACCTGGAGCGAAGAGGTGTGGTGCTGTGTTTGCTGGTGAAGCTGCGTTTGTTTACTCCGGGACTGACTGCGAACCGTCCTGATTAACACACGGCGGGCGTGCGCTGGGCGGGAAGTTGTAAACAGCCCCGGCCTTATGTAATGGCACGGCTCTTGTGCAAGATCTGTCATCCAGATGGCAGCAGGATTGATGTCTGGGGAGATCAGCATCGTGCCAGCCTGGGGTGCAGATGTGCGTGGGAGTGCACCAACCCCAGGCTCGCTCTTCCCAGACCACGGGCGGGCACAGAGGGGCTCCCCGGCCCCCTCGTGCCCTGGGATGCTTCTCAGCGTGGTGCCGCTCCGTGTGCCTTTGGGAGTTAGTGGACATCAGTGGCCATTCCTTGGTGGCTGAGAGCTTTCTGGGATGCTTAAAAGGGAAAGATTTACTGATTGTGACTAGAAGACTTCCCGCTAGCATCGGGGTGGTGTGGATGTAACTCGTAAGGCAGGGAAGGGACCTGTTTCACTGCGCTGACTTGATTCTTTGGCTGTTGCTTTATTTCCTTGCTGTTGTTATTCTGATCCAGTGAAATTAAAAAGGCATGAGTAGCCTATTTGGATCTGAATGTGTGAGTTCCTGCCCTGCAGAGCTTTCAGTAGAGATTAGATTTTACATGCCATTGTGTGGGGGAGATGTGCCATCAGGCAAAGGAGGAACAAATGCAGGCGGGGCGAGACTGGAGAGGCAGAAGCTGGTGCGCTTGCATGAAGCTGCCTGCTGCTCATCGGGGTGGTATCCCCATCTCCCTGCTCTTTCCGCTGCTATCTCAGAAAACATTCACCAGCTTCACCCCATTCTGCAGCATGTTCAGCCACTGGAACATCTGAGACAAGGCAGCCACTTCTTCCTCATGTTAGTCCTCATTCCTAAGTCCTTTCCCTAAGTGGGCCTAGAATAAAACCTGTGTGTAAATACCCATCCCAAGCCTCGTGTGTTCCCGAGCGTGCAAGCAGCCTAGCAGGGGGAGTCTGTCCTATAAGAATAATCCTTCAAGTCACCGGCGAGGTAGATGCACACTCAAGTCTGCTGGTATCCAAACAAATGGTGAGGGATTCCAAGGATTTATGTGTTCACGTGATGCACGACACAGACATCGGGAGCAGACAAGCCTGGCACGTTGCTCATGCTACCAACCTTTCACCTATTTCAAGTCTTTTACTCTAGACCTCTGACAGTGTTTCTATTCATTCAGGCTGTTTCCTGCTTGACAAAAAAAGAAAAAGAAAAAAAAAAAAAAAAAAGGTGTTTGTTTGTTTCCTGAGTGATCACAAGGCATGCATATATCAGAAAAAAAAAAATCTATCTTCTTCTTACATCTCTATTATTTCTATTGTTCAGGTATGCCCCAGGTACTTTCCCAGACATGTTGCCTTCTGTTCTTAACATTGCCATCTGGGAATCAGATATTGTACATCATTTGTGGTGCTGTTCAGCGGGGATGGAATTTGTTATTGCTGCTCGCAGATAGCTGCGGCTCGATGCACACGGGTAGCTCAGAGAAGAGGGATGCCGTCAGCTTTGGGGCTGCCTCCCTCCAGCTCGGGGATGAGCTAAGGCTGCGTGTGCACAGCACGTCTAGGGAGACAAGCTGGGAAAGTTCCCCTGACACCTGCAAGGCAAGTGATGTCCACGGGGCCCAAACTGTTTCACCGCCAGGAAGGCACTCAGTCAGCTAATTTTGCACTGAGCCTCCTTGCAGTCTGGCAATCTGCCTTTAATAAACGCTTGCTTTGCGGAAATCCAGGGAAAGAAGAGGTGAGCCCCGCGCAGCAGCCGCAAACAAAATCAGCCTAAATACCAGGGCACTCGGAGCTCGGTGCAGAAGCAGATGCAGAACTGAGCTTTGCGGGCTGGACCCATCTCTCGAAGTTGATTCTGATCATTTCCTGATTCAGAGCCTTGTGCTCTGACCACAAACCCACCATATCCCTTCCTGTTTGGTGTACATCTCTGTCTGGTCCCTTAACCAAACAACAGCTCAGTAAATGCTTACAAATTCAAGAGGAGAGGCTGCTAATTTAAAACGCTGCATTATCAGAGCAGCTGGAAAGGAAAACTAACAGGAAGAAGCACCAAATCAGAGCCAAAAGGAAAATCTGGGTGCTTGGATGCAGGCAGATGGTTGCTTAAGAAACACTTCTCCAACGTTTATTGCAGATGTTTGTGAACACAAAAACTATCGAACCGAAGGGTGCAGCAAGTTGGAAGTTCAGGTGGGTTACTCCAAGGCGGGCCACTCCCAGCCCTGGCAAATTTTGTGAAGCTGTTGCTCTCCATGCTTCAGCCTCGAAAGCAGCAGAGCCTCCACCCCGCGCTGTTATATAAGGTCGGTAAGGGGAGCAGGGCGATACGCTACTATCACGGCGGGGAGGATCTTGTGGGACACCAAGAAGTGAGCAAACTGCGACAGAGCCTGCGTGTGCGTGGTTTCTTCTTTAAAAATAAGATCAGACTCTTTTTTTTTTTTTCTTCTTTGCTTTAAGACACAGTGGCTATAAATGGCCTTGCAAAAATAAATCGAGCCTGAGGCTGGGTCTTGAAAGCACTTGACGAGGAGTAAAAGTGGTTAAAAAAGGAAAAAGGAAAATTCTCACACTATTCCGAGAGCCCAGACCCCCCCCACCTCTGCTTGTAAACAGCAGCTAAATCACACTGGAGCATTTCTGCCCCTTTCAGACCTTACCTGGCTCATTAGGACAGACGATGGGGGAGTGGAGCACAGCACCTTCCAAATCACAAACAGGTTATAAAGCAAAGCTGTAGTACACAATAGCATGAAACCAGTTGTAGAGAACATGGTGGAAAAGCTGCTGGGGAAGTGAACTGAGCAGAGTTAAAAGCTGTGGCTATTATTTATGGCTGTTGGCTCAGCCTTTTCACATCAAAATCAAGCTTTTCAAACAGCTCTGTGTTCTCTGGAGAGGTTAAAAGTTGGGCTGGGAAAAGCAGCTCTGTGGATGTGACAGATTTTGGCAAGGTGATTGACTTAGCACGTTCTAGCAACAAGTAAGGATATCCAACATCAACGTTATGCATGTTCTGTGGCTTAGGGACCAGTGAGATTAAAGACCTTGCAAATGAGCAGTCCCCGGGCGCTTCTCCAGAGAAGAGCCTCAGGGACTGATAGGGCATCCAATAATTTTCAATGCTTTTATCAACGGTGTGGAAGGTGAGCCACAACAAGGGCTGCCAAAACCTGCGAGTGACACCAGACAGGCAGAGCAGCAGCTGGTGAAGAGGCCGGGGCAGCGGTGTGGGGAGATCCAGGTCACTGGGCAGCGTGACAGCCCCGTGTGGAGGAGCAAGGGACACAGTCAACTTGCACAGAGGGACAATCCTTATCTTGGAAAGCAAAGCCAGGATTTGGGATAGGATGCTACGGACAAGCAGCCCAACCTGTGTTTCCAGTGTGCTGCTGCAGCTGAGGGGCCTCCCAGGAGCTCCAGATGGAGGAACAGCCAACTGCAGGATGGACCAGGGCTGCTTCCAGCCAGTCTTAACCAGACAAATATTTTCCCTGTTATTGTTGGTCTCTGCATTTTGAAAAGGAAGTTGAGAGACTTGAGGAGTTCAATCTGCTAAATGTATTCAAAAGCAAAGTGAGAGGTGATGTTATGACAGAGTGTGCAAGCACCTTCAGGAAGCGATGCTGGTAGGAAAGGGGTCTTTAGCCCCACGACAAGCACACTACAGCTTGGTAATTTCGAGTAAGAAAGTAGCATGTGTTTATCAGTGAAGATGCTTAATCTCTGGGAAGAATTCCAGGTCCAGGATAGGATTCACATTTCGTGGTGCCCTCAAATCCAAGCTGGCTGCCCTCCTGGGCTGCTTGATTTAGATCACGTTGTACTTTGCCAAACATGAGTTAAACACAGAGGTGTGGGAGCGATATCTGTGAATACCTGAAGTGCTGGGGATCAGGCAGGAGTCTCCAGCCCTCCCGCACACCCATGAATTCTGGGACTGAGAACTACATAACCAAGGAAGAGGAATAAAATTCAAATGGCCTGATGCCTCCTGGAAGGTACAAGAGGGTGCAAAAGCCAATGAAAAAGCCTTGGAGTTCTTGGTAACCCCTCCCAAACTGATAAACTTCCAAAAACAAACAAACAAACAAACAAACAAACACCTCTGTCCTTTCTCCTTTCTTTCTCTCTCTCTCTCTCTTTTTTTTTTTTCCTTTCAGTACTTTAAGTGAAAAAAAATAATTATTTTATAGAAGTTTTTGTTTTGTTCTGTTTTGTTTTGTTTTGGTAGCAATCTTTTCAGCACACTGGCAAGTTGCTCCTGTTTGGGTTTTGTTTGCTTTTGTGAACAACTACAGTTGAGTTTTCCACTCTTTGTTTCTGAGCGTGTGTTTAGGACTTGCTGAGAACAAGTTAAACACAACAAATGAGTTTTGGACAGAGCTTTGAAAGAGATTAATTCTGTGGTCATTCATTCTCCTCTCTTGGGAAGCAAGTCCCACATTCCAAAACAGCTTTCTGAGAAAGTTTTGTCTTCATCCTAACCAGCATCTTCGTTTAGGTATCCTTGCAAAGTGTTAGGCTGAGAACCAAGGACTCAGTCCTGGAAAATAATATCAGATACTTACCCTTAGCATTGCCTGGGGGCCACTTCAAGTATTGATAAACTAGTAGAGATGGACTTGAAGGATACTGGCCCGAAAAAATACTCAAAAAAATGCCACATCAACGCAGTGGCAAAGCTGGGATTAAGCATCCAAAACACATCATCTGTGTGGCTCTAGCAAGGCAAGAATGAACAGGGCAGGTAGTAAATCTAGAAGAGCCAGCAGGAAGGTCACAAGCTCTGGAATTAAAGAAAGAAGAATGGCTAAAGAATGAAGCAAACATACTGCTGCTGAGGGAAATAATTCATAAAATGTTGATCGTCTCATCCCCATATGCTTGTAATAATTTTGACAAGCATTTCATTTTATCCATTATTGTTAGGAAAATGATTCCTTTAAGGGCAAAATTTAACTGCATTTTTCAGATCAGCTTGATTGTGGGAATCATTCTCACTTGCCTGTGGTTTTCACTATCAGGCCAAACTTTATCCCTGGTGTATTTTTCTTGACTCAGTGGAGTTGTGTTGAAGATCAGCTTGGCCTTAAGGCCTTTAGTCATATTGCCAATGGGTTTCTTTAAAGGGATATTTCCCTACTTTGAATTCAGGATTCCGGGCAGCGATTTTCATTTTGCAATCTGGAAGCACTCCTGCATATCTTAAGGAAGTTTTAGTAATTCTGGTACTGAAGAAACCTTTCTTTGGCAATAGATGCCATGCCTCATTTTCATCCTGAGGCAGGTGTGTGCATGTGCGTCGGCTGGTCTGTGGATGGCAGTCTAGAGAGCCAGGTGCCTTCCACCGGCAGAAAGGTATGGTGAAGAGTCATAAGAAGGGAAAAGAAATACTTAACAGCCTCACAAAAGCATAACAAATGCTATTCACCGTGTTTCTGATTAACAGAGCAGCATCTTATCTTCCCCCGAAAGCTCTGCTCCCAATCCTCCAAGTGTGTGTGCATGGTAAGGGGAACCCCGTAACCTGATTTTGTCTGAAAGCTAGTTAGGAGGATTGTTTAGATTCCAGTACCATGGGGAGCAGCTCTGGGAAAGAGCCCTTTGCTTGGAGTCAGAAGGAAAGACTAACTGAAGACCCAAGAGCTGAAGGATGGGCCCTTCTGCATCCTCTGCCCTGGACCTGAGTGGCTGGGAGATGCTGCTTGCAAGTGGGTACGGTCCCGTGCCCCTGCACAGACTGCTGGTCTCAGGCACAAAAACCCCACAGGAGAGGTCAGCACAGGGAAAGTCTCGCCACAGAGCTTTCTCTGCACTGAGAGATGCTTTGTGTCTCGTGAAGCCCTGGATCAAAAGGAAGGACTACGTGCTGATGGGCGCAGGATGGTGGCAGGACGGTATCACACCTGCTGAGATGGGCTAACAGCGTGCTCCCTGACCTGAATGTCTCAAGTGTTGCCTGTTTCAGCTTGCTTTGGCAGCCCGGCTGCTCTCTGAGTGCTCCAAATCACAGCAAAAAATATTATTAAATCAAACACAAACCTCTCGGTCCCACCTCACGCAATATGTGAAACCTAATAATGAACCTGAGTGTAGCCAGCCTCCTTTCTTATAACTGAGCGACACCTGAGACAGATCCTGCAGGTCTCAGAGATCTGTCCCGAGGACAGAAAAGACCTGAGAGAGCCCAGGGCTAGGTACAGACAAGCTAGGAAGTGTTATGCAAAAGAGCAGCACAGAGTGTACGGTATGGGATGTACTCGTGAGCTTCTAAACGAAAAAATTTACTTGTAGGGATTGATGATGGGCATGTCATTGAAAAAGAAATTTGTCTTGCTGTGGTGAGAACCTCTGCTCTTGCTATTATTACATCTGGTCAGAAGAGAGAGGAGACTGTAAATCTCGATGGCTTGATATGATCAGACAAGCCACAGTCTGAACTCTAGGGGTGCTTGTTGCTGTAGGGTGCTACAGCATGTGAATGTGCATCAGAGGAGAGCATGGTGTGAAGGAGCAGGGCTCAGGGGAGCTGTTTCTGTCCTGCAGCCATCGCCAGCTTTGTATAACTATCGCTGTGATCCAGCAGCCTGTGAAGCATAAAACTATCTGAATGCAATTTGGATACAAGCAGCATCAGATAACTGATCTCATTACCTTGAGAGAAGAGGGTTGATGTGATTTCTGTACATCGCAGCCAGTGCCCAGAGCTGGCTGCTGATCTGATCATCAGCTCTGAGACCCCAGCCCTCCACCATTCTGCCGTCTCTGTGTGCCTTCCTAAAGACCAGCTTGCCAAAAGCCTTGACATTAGCAAACTAAGGCAAGTGACACAGTTGCCCAACTCCACTCATTGCTCCATCGCCATCCCAAGGAGACCAGCTCTGAAGGTGGTTCTGGTAAGGAATAGTGGGAAAACCTTAAAGGGCTGGGGTGCAGCAACCGGCTGACTCAGAGAGCAGAAACCATTTGCTGTGGTATCTGGAGAGATCTGAACAGCTGCAAAATCCCAGTGCTGAGATCTTGGTAAGGTCGCAGTTGCGATGGGCTGGGCATATTGCCAGGGTGGAAGATTCCAGGATCTGCAGCCTCCTGGGAACACCTAGCAGCCAGCACGAGTTGTTATAAAGACACCTGAAAATCCTCGCTTGGAGCTTGTCAGCTTAACGTTAATAACTGGGACGGGAAGGGTTTGGAGCCACGGCGGTGCAGCCCGAGAGGTGAAGCACAAAGCCAAAATGGAGGAGAGGGAGGAGGGAACTCGGAGAAGATCAGTCACGCCATTTAAAATGCACACTTTTGGCTAAAAACCTACTTTCTCCCCACAGACCGGCCTGTTTTTACAGGGTCATACACACACATACAGCAAAAATAAAAACAGCTAAGGAGAGGGTCACTGCAAATTGCAACAAACAACAATTTGGTAATACAATTTTAATGAAGAAATCTGTGGCACCCAATAAATTTAAGATTTGGCACACCAGCAATACCCAATAGCCATAAATAAAGCAATCTGCTAATGGCAGCCCATTCCACCTCATTTTCCTTGATGTTTTCCATGGCATCATTCCTCGCCATGAAAATCACGGCTGAATCACGACTTTTCTTTTAATCTCCTCTTAATCTCCACCACTATTAGGTGCTACACGTCTTCCTGGACACCACCGTATTTGAATGGCCTTTAAATAGGGCCTGCTCGGAGGCTGGTGAGGCTGTACCACACGCTTGTCTGCTGCAGGCTGAGCCCACAGAAGGCTGCAGAGCACGCCGTGGCTGCCCGCAGCCGCTCACACATCATCAGCCCCGGGGAACTCGGAGCCAGAACCACCCCGTGGCCCCCAGCAGCTTTTGCACTTGGGACTCAGCTCTGCAGGTCTGACATGTCGTGACAGAGGTATTTCTCCACGCAGCTCGTTTTGACCTGAGCTAATAGGAGATTAAACCAGCCCACGGCAGCAAGTCAGCTGCTGCTGGTCTAGGGAGGGCGTCTCAGGTTCTCTCCTTAATGAGCTTCACATTTGGCCTTCGTTAAGCAAAGGAGAGCTCGGCATCACAAACATCGTGCCAGTGATACGGTCCTTATCTGACAGATGGAGCCCAAGGAAAGCTGTTTGCAGTGACCTAATGTTGTTTGCAGCTTACCTGGCAAGACACCAGCGAGTTGCTTGTCCCCTGCACCGAGAAGTCACTAAGCAGATGCTTGTGTCTCCCAAACAACATCTCTTTGCTTTCTGAAAATGAAGCCAGGGTTTCCAACAGAAGGTACTTTGGAGTGCCTTTGTCTCCTCTGCCGCATGCTGGATTTCCGCAGGGACCCCGTGTCTGCAGGGCTTGTCCCCACCGCGCTGCTCCATGGGCTTTAGTGTGACCCTGTCGGGAGCGTCGGGAGATGATTAACCCTTTTGTCACCACCAAACCACAAGGGGAACATCTTCTTCTTTTTCTCAGTCATTAAGTTTTTGCATACTGGAATTATGTGCATTTAACAAGGAAGTTTTCCAGCAGGGTGCACATCCTCGAGTCTTTCAGCAGAATGAGCTTTTGGAGTGTCCATAATCACAGAGTGTTTGACAAACCACAAAAGAAGCCTCCTTAATTTTAACTTCTTTTGGCCTAAGTTGGGCAGGATCTGAAGTCAGGGTTTGAGACATGCACAGAACTACTTTGCCATTACCTTATGATCCCACTCTGGGGGGGGAGTTTTGCCATTCAGTGTCGCCGCATCTGCTTCATTTCTCTTCAGGTTTCCACCTCAAATTTCTTCCTATGCTGTCCTGTTTTCTTATGCAACTTTATAGGCTGTGGTAGGTGGAGATAAGGAGGCCAAGTCCTGAAATGATCTGTCTGCTTTTGTTTTGCAACCTCAGTGACAGCAAATATTAATGTGCATGCGTTCGCTGCCCGACTTGTCTGACCACTCTGCATGGCCACTTTGGTGACAAGCAAAAACCTTGCATGCGTTGACCGATCCCCAAGCACTGCATAAATACAGCTTATGCTGCTGTGAGCCCCCAGACATGCTCTCCTCTTTACACCCCTTGCACAGCTCTTTTTTTTTTTTTTTTTTTTTTTTTGCACCAAGGATGTTCCATGTCCAGCATTTGTCTTGTGCCAGGCCCTTCCTGGACTGTGGCTGTGTTACACAACAGTGCCCTGTGACTGAGGCGAGGATTAAAGGTGTCCAAATGATTAGGAAATCAGAGCAGTGAAAGGTCAGGGATCTTTTTATTTTCTCTTGGCTTTGGTAGGTGGTTGCTGAAAAATCACAAACGCTCTTCGAAAACAAGGGCTAGCGAGGTGCAGCTTTCCAGAGAAGTTGTTGGCATTCGTGTCTGCACACAAACTATTTACAGGTATGGCAAAGCGTTACTAATCTCTGAGCTATTCAGAAAGGAAGTACCTCTAGGATCTCCTCATTTGTCTCCCGTTTCTTAAACACCATTGAGTCATGCTGAATCTCCTCCCCTCCTGCAAGAAAAAATGCTTTGCAGAGTTCCCTGAAGAAAGAAAAATGTCCCTGGACCAGTGAAAACCAACAGGCCCAAGTGGGTGGGTCTCCTGCAAGCTCATGACCTAGTAACTGGGTAAAAAAGCCCGGAGACCTGGGAAGGAGAGGTCAGCCGAGTGGCTGCTGAGGATTCAGATGTTCTCGAGGCCCACGGGAGGAACTCTCTTATCAGGGTCTGGAGTCCAGCTGGAGCCCGTCTGGACCTGACCCTTCTCAAAGTTCATGAGTGTTTGCATTGAAATCTCTGATTCTAACTTATCTGTGATTTCAGACGGCCCCTGGAAGATGGTGTTGCCAGTTGGCTTTGCGAAGCCTTGCTGGATGTCCAGCTATGTCTGAGCTTCCCTCCCCTCCTCTCCAGCATGCCTGTCTGCACTTGGCTTCCAGTTCAAGCTTAGCCCCAGATGTATCTCACTGCTGCTCGGTTCCTGGGATCCTGTTGCAAATGGCAAGAAGTTATGAGCAGGATTCCTAAAGGAAGCCACACTGAGGAAAGAGCAGAGCGAGAGGGAAACCTCACCATTGCCGTGTCACTTTTACCAAGCACACACTTCTTGCGTTGCTCGAGTTTCAAAGAAAAAGGAAGTGTGTATAAAGGCTGCCTTGAACAACCGGAGGATGGTGGCACAGGCAGTGAAGGGTAAAAAGAAGAAGTAGGCACTGTGGGAGAACTGGTGAAGACGAGGTGGGTGAAGGAGGTGCTCCAGAGCTGGGTGTGTGTGCACCGACAGCGGCAAGCAGCAAGGATGAAACAGCCACCAAAACTGATGCATGAGGCAGCGCTCAAAGAACAGATGTGAAACAGAAGGAGACATTTATGGAGAAAAGAATAAAAAGGATTTTCTCAAAGTAAGATAATTCTGAAGTGCAAACACTAAGGAATGCTGTCCCTGCTTCCAAATACAACCCAGCAGGCAGCAGAGCAGCTAGAAGGCCAGAGCTCCTGAGCTCTGACCCTGGTGTGCCACCAACTCCTCCACCAGTGTGCCTACTAATTGCAAGTGCTGCAGGCAGCTTGCAAAGGCTAATATAAAAGCACAGAGCAGGGAGCTCAGAACCATGGGGAAGCAAGTCAGGATTGACTCAAGGGGATCTGAGAGCAGCCAGTGCCTAATATCTCTGGCCAGCTTTTGCCCATCTGAGAAATGGAGCATGTCTCATCTGCCACAGACAATGCTGGGAGGTTAATAATGGCATTTCATGTCTGAGGTCCTCTGACAGAAAGCTGCCACGTAACACAAAGCATTATTCTACCCTAAAGCCAAAAGTCTCCTCCACCCAAATAAATATGTATTTGTGTTGCCTGCCTCCCGTATTTAATCTACCGGCGATTCTCACAAAAAAAATAAATAAATAATTAAATAGATAAATAAATCTCTGGCAATAGGAGTGTGCCAAGAACTTGGCTAATCAGTAGGATTCTAGTATGTCGCTACAGATTTTGGCAGCCTTGTGTCAAGAAAATGATGCAACCCTGTTCCTGGGAACCAGAGCGATGGAAAGCGCTTCCAGCTGATTCGGATTGTTTATTCTAGGTGAAAGTTTGCAACATTTCCATTTGGTTTCACCACCGTGAGCTTTGCCAGGCCTTCTTCTCAGGCAGTGAGCGCTTTCTCATTCCTCTGCTTGATCTCCTACTTAAAGGCTTAGTTGCTACACTTCTTTTATTACTCTGGAAGGCATACACTTGGTCAAGAACGGGTGGATTTCACCTTGCAAGAGGTGCAACACTTTCATCTCCTGCTGACATCAGTCAGGCTGCAGGACCAAACACCCATCATCATGAGCAAAGGCTTTATGGTCTCGAAGAAGGAGGGATTATGTCAGAAGAATGGCCAGAGCCTGGGCAGGAATGCATTAATCATTATTATTACATTTCTATGCAAGTATTTAACCTGTGAGTGCTTTCACAGAACAAGGGAACGCATAGAAAATGCTCCTTGCATGGTTCTGGAGCGCAGTCTGGCACGTAGAGCTAGGCAGCACCTGCAGCCTGGCCGAGCTTTGGCCTGGAGAGACAGGAGCCTTGCTAAGAAGGACGGTCCACCTGTACGCAGGGATTCCTGCCGCAGCATGGGCCAGGCCTGTGCGGGGGCTGAAAGTGTACTTCCAGGAACATATTGCTCTGTTTTCAGCCTAAACCAACTATTTCCTCATTCTCTTTGTTCCCCTCTGTCATTTCTTCTTTCTGCAGCAATATAACCAAGTTCCACTTTGAAATGAATCACTGTTCGAGTGCTCATTAAATTAAGGAACTGACCATTCTGGTAAGACTCATGCTGACTAATTGCAGGTGCTGTTTAAATTTCCCCAATAAAACTTCTACAAAATCAAAGCCATTCCTAGCTGCCATTCAAATGCTGGGTATCTGAGGAGCTTAGAAGATCCAGTTAGGGTGGCTTTCTAAAGGGAAAGCTTTCACAGTACATGTCCTAGTCGTTTGCAACCTGTCTGAGACTTTGACCTTTTATTTACAAATTTGGTTGGATGATTAGCTGGCCAGGTCAGCTAATGTTAGATCTTCTGACCATTTTGCAGGCCGAGACACTGCTTAAAACACTTCCTTAGAAGGAGTGCCAGCGTTGCAGTGGGCAATATATTCACCTGAACGAGTCATGGTATGCCCACTCTGTTAAAAAATCATTGCGAGGACATAGATGCTGAAGCTGTGCCTCTTCACCAAGCCAACACGTAATCCCTAATAGTCCATTTGTCATCGCAATTTCCAAAATCATCTGCTCTCTTTTACATTAATTATGACCCAGGAAGTTTTCCACGTTGCTTTTCCTCACTGTGCTCATGGGGAAAATAATGGACCCAGAAATACTCCTTCTCTAGAGCTCTGCAAAAGTGGTTTTTTGTTTGTCTGTTTGTTTCTGATGAAAGAGGGAACCTCTGGACTGCATAAGTGAAGCCCTGAATTGATGCCACATTTCCAAGTTGGGCAAGTTTTGTAATTGTGTGACGGTTGTGTGTCCCCCACCATGTGATGGGAACAGCAATCTCCTCTTATGATGCTATCACTTGCTTCACTTTGGATGGAAGACTCTGGAGGAATCCCCGCCACTTACTAAAACTTTTCACAAAGCGTGTCACAGGAAGCCCTGAATCTCCACATCCAGCCTTTTAATAATAAACTATCTGTTTGCTTTGCAGAGCTTGTTTCCTAGACAGAGCACCAAGAAGGTATCACGAATGCCTGTGTACTAACCTCACCTTCCCCACAGCACCCCGTGTCCTGTTGATAGCAGGACAGCACTGTCAGCCCCACAGAGACAGGGGAAGCTGAGCACTGTGCATGCTGCAATAAGGCAGAGGCAGATCCAGGCACTGCTGGCTTTCTAGCACCTGTGCCTCAACCGCCAGGCCGAATTAGTACTGAAGGGACCTGTATTTTACTGCCCCCTTCTTCTGCATTAATTAAAACACATCACTGCACACTTAAGCGATTTAAATGTTTTGGAACGAGTCTCAGGACAGCCAAGGGCATTCAAAGTGAAGGGAAGGCTGGCAGCTTGCCTTCAGCTCGCTGGCTTGCCTGTCTATCACCAGCACACGTCATGCATTACAAAACCGTGAGATCTCTGCAGATCCAGCAACAGCACTATGCAGGAGAGAGCAAGGCTGAAGTCAGAAATCCCTGGTCTTCCTGGGGCTCCATCACACAGACTGGCTGCCAACATCTCCAGTGGCCTTTTTTCTTTTTCTTTTATTTTTTTTTAACACCTCTTCTCTATGAAAAGCTCATGGGAACTGCTACTGTAACAAGTACTCCACCACCATGGCTAATGGAAAGCCCTGCTAGACCTGGGAATTAGAGTATAGGCTTTCCTCTCGGGGATTTTTTTGGAGCTATCCAGGGCAAGAAAGAGGGAATTAACAGCGTGTTAAATAAAACCCAGGGCTTGCAAAGACTGTGTTTTACCCTTCAGGTCATACTGAAGGTCAGGGTATAAGCGAACATTCCCCCGAAAGTCTGTTTGCCTTTCCATCACCTATCAGCTGGCTGCGGGAGGCTGCAAGAGAAGGGACCTCGGGTGACCTCCAGAGCTACTTGTGTGCTGTGGACTCCAGGCAGCAGACAGCTGACTACAGTCTAGAATGGAAATGAAGGACTAATTTGCCCAGGGACATTCCCTTTTGTATTTTAAAGTAATGCAAAGTGCCTTTTCACTTTCAGCTCTGGATTTTAAGGCCTAAGATGAAGAGTCACCAACATTAGATCCACACCATCACAATTGTAACATCAAAACAAGCGCTGTATTAAAAATAAACACAGCCGGCATTCACTGGCATGATTAAAATGCATACATATGGGTGAGGTCATTGTAATAAAGGCCTTATGCACAAGCATGTGCATTTCTTACCATGGCCCTAGGCTCAGAGCAGGAACACTATGCATCCACAACTACCTGCTCTTGTGCAGTTGCATCAGCCCAGGCTCTCCAGCTGTTCAGAACATCTACCACAAGTGTCCTTATCACATCCATGTGCACTGACCTCCCCTTAACCCTCACAAAGACTAGAAAAATCACAGCCATGGCTTACCGCATTAGCAGAACATCTCTGATCACCAGCAGACCACTGTGTCAAGGTTCTGCATCTCCTCTGTCAATCATGTAAAGGCTGATGCCGATGCCACTTGGAAATAAGTCCATGAAAATATTTCCTTTCTCCTATCTGTGTGCCTGGAAAAAGCTTCACCAGCCAAATGAAAGTAAACTGGACTTTCCAGAATGACATGAAAATCTGCAAAGCCATTAGTGTCCATCTGCACAGTAATGCAGATCTTCTGTAAGTCACTTGAAAAAACAAAACAGGACTTCTAAAAAGTCCTGACCTTATGTACCTTCCTAGCTCATATTGCATCAATGCTCCCATGCCTCCAGTTATTATCGGCCAAGCCTCCACAGCTCGGGTGAAACACCCCCTGCTCTGGCAAACCACTATAGTAGGCAGCAAAGCTGGCACCAAAGTCCCACTTTGGTGAGTCCCACCAAAGGCTCTCCGACGTTTTGGGTGCCTCCCCATGGGTGCTCCAGTTGCCCCAGGCTGCAGCTCTCAGTGCTGCTGCGGAGGCACCTAGTCAGCACTGCAGAGACAGATCTGCTCTGGGAAAGGTTTTAGGAGGAATTTCTCAACTGGCTTTGGTTGCTTGGTCCTAGGCTTGCAGGTATTGTGACTGCAGAGACCCTGCCTGACTCTGGGGCAGCCCTGGGCCTGCGCTGACCATACCAGTGACCATGAGGATCCCAGTGCTCCCCAGTACTGCA